TGGGCAGCAAAAGCCACTGCAGCTACGCCACTACAGAATTGGACCATGGGGAAATTAATCTGGCAATGCACATCAGGCTAACTCATCTCTGCTCCCACCCCCATCTGTACAGCAACATAAGAAAGTTATTGAAACACTGATTTGTGTCACTAATGTGTGCATCGCATCAGATGAGTTCAAACTCTTGTCTTATTATGAGGGGAAACAGAACTCAAATCCACTTCTCCTCTTGACTTAGAAAGTTTTAGTCTTGTCAAGCAAATCTGTGGGTGGATGGGTGAGAGAGAGACCATTTGGATTTTTTACCTCAGGTACCACAGGGTCTTGGCTGGACCAGCTTTCCTTTTAATTTTTAGTGCTTCAAAGAGAAAAGTTCAGGGAAAGCCCCACCTTTTTATCCACCCCTGTATTTTTGTAGACAGGCAGAAAGGCCTCACTTTTCCAAACAACTTTATGGCAATCTCTTCAAATTACTGAGCCCCATGTAAACTGTGAGATTTCAAAATAGAATTCAGAAAGAAATTGTTTTAAGGCCAGCCAAGTCATGATACTGTATTTAATCTTTCCCAGTGGTGAGGTCATCTCCCATTACCAAACAAATACTCTAATCAAGAAAAGTCATTCTCCTAGGGAGGTCGCGACTGATGTGCGTTCTTCCTCCCACCCCACCCCACCCCACCCCCACCCTTCAAGGCCCTCTCCTGCATATAATAAAAGCAATGAAGAAATCACATTAACCTCTATGATACAGAATCTGGCCCCACATTATCACACGCAAAAAGAATGGGGCGAATGAAGGGCCAGACTTTTATTGCTCTGCCTGTGCGGATGAAAGAGAACCATGACAGCCTCACCCAGTAAACAATTCCATAGTACTTCTTCTCTTGATAACCACATCAACAACGAATCTAATTAATTCTGGCAACATTATATAGGAAAACAACTCCAATAAACAATTTGACAGAACTGTACACATAGGTTAGCATTATGTTAATTATCATTATTATTATTATTATTATCACCTCTGGCCCAGAGGTTCCACAAAATTGCACTTTGCTATATGCTAACACCAAAGTGCCATTAATATTCTTATGAGTTGGGTCGAGATCAGTCTGGATGGTGACCTGAGTCCCTTCCAGTTGTTGGGATCCTGTAACTGTAGGGGTAGAATGTATAAGCTTGCCAAACCTATCCTTTTGTCTAGGAAATGTTTTTGGCTGAGCACCACGTTAGCATAACCAAGCATAGAGCAAGTAGGTGTGCCTCCTCCCTCCCCAGAACTGCACCTAGCTGCCAAGTAGGAGAACAATAGCCAAATTAGTGTGGGTGGGCTGAGCTGGAAGCAGGCACGAAGCTGGAGACACAGATACCTGCTTGCTCCGTGCTGGATCCAAAGCTGTGGCTAATGAAGAAGCCAGATCCTTTGTTGCTGCTGTGAGCCCCTCCATCCTATGCTCAGGTTGTATATATGTGTCAATATAACCATATATCCTAAGGACACATAGCTGTCAACCTTCCCTTTTTTTGCGGGAAATTCCCTTGTTCCAGTGCCGTTTCCCGCTGCTTCCCGCTGCTATCCCGGTTTGTTACATATCCCGTAGACTGTCCCTGGAAGAGGTGAGGCTCCTGATCCCTTATTTTCAAATCTGAAAGTTGACAGCTATGTAAGGACACAGTCTCTGCTGACCTTCATTCCAAGGAAACTGAACTCTGGGCAAGCATGTGGACCCCTGGAATCTCTTACTTCTCACAGATTAGGGTGGCTTGTGACAATATGTCTATTTAAATCACACCCTGGAGAGCTTCACACAAAAAACCCAAAATCTTGGCAGCCAAACAAAGGGGAGGACAAAAATCATCATCATTTATTTATATGCTGCCTCTCCATAGTAAACCATTTCAAGGCAACTCACAACATGAAAAAATGCGTAATTCACTAAGTTAAAAATGCTCACTCTGGCTTTAGTTTATTGATATCAGCTGCTTTGAGTAAGCATGCCCACTTGAAGCAAAGCTCTAGAGGGGTAAAGGGAGGGACCTATTCAGCCCAAGGTCTGCATTCCCTCATGGGGAGCCTTTTCAGGGGGTGGGCAGGTACAAAACATGGACAGTACAGTGGATGTGACTTACCTTCATACATTCCAGCCAGGCAAAAGTCGGGGGCTTCTCCAAACATCTCAAGCACACCCTACACAGATAACCTCTCCATTCACCATCCAGGTGAGCAGAAAGCACTCTCACAGCTCAAGGACACATTCTAGCCTGGAAAAACACAGAGCAGGTCCAGTGAAGGGTGTGTGGCCTGAGGGTCCCAAGGGCTAAGCAGGGAGGACTGAGAGAGCACAGTTGGACCCCAGGCCTGTAGTTTAACATCAATGCAATAAAGCCAGAATGTGGAGGCATAACTGACATGGATGGGTTGGGAAGGGCCCTTAGTTTTGGTTAGGAAGAAGAAGAGACTGAACCTGGTTTCCAGGTGATGACAAAAGAATGTATCAAACTGGCCATTATGTATAAATTGTCAGATTTAGTAAGAAGAAGGGAAGGAAGAAATAGCAAACTGGCACTAGCAGAGAGAGAATTATTTGATCACTTACCGGAATGCGTGTAATGGGGATGTGCAATTCCACAGGGATTCCATGAATTTGAAGATCTTTTTGTCATGGGATGGGCTTTTGGTTACACCTTTTAATACATGTAGCAGTACTGATATGAATGGATCTCTATTATACTTTACCAAATTATGTTTCTGTTTCAGAAATATCTCCAGCCTGTGTCCTTTTCTATTGGTCCTTTCTCTTTAATTCATCTGTTTTATAGTAATGCTCTCTATTCTCTTGATGTATGTGCACCATGCTATTTTTGACTTGTTGCCTACATCTCCTCTGTTTACATGCTAAGGATAAAACTTTTTTTTTTTAAATCCCTAAGTTAAACCATTTTGTTGGAGCGGAGGAAACCCCAAAGGAAGTATTGTGACAGAGAAAGTAACCTACACAATCTTTTCCCAAGTGTCTTGCATCACAGCTAGCAATGGGGAAGGGTGGGTGGATGCATCAGAGTCTGATAGCGCTGGCAAGGAGTAGCAAGAGTGCGTTAGCTGCTGAAAGTCTGGCTGGAGTGAGGAGCACTTCATGCCTCAACACTTTCCAAAGGGGATGAGGAATCCCACCCTTCAGCTGATATATGGGACCACCTGCATGCTTAGCCGTTTTGCACAGGGCTGTGAAAGAGGAAGCTTTGCAATGACAGCCTAGCAGTATATTTACCAGGAATTCCTACGATAGTCTCTTGACCCCCGCCCCCAAACACACACACACACACAATTTGCAAAGTTTGAAGCTTTGGCAACTTGGACAAGAGATGATAGCACTCAGGAAGCATAAGAACATAAGAAGAGCCTGTTGAATCAGGCCAATATCCCATCTAGTCCAGCATCCTGCTTTCACAGTGGTTAGCCTGTGGCAAACCAGCAAGCAGGACTTGAGCACAAGTGCACTTTCCCTTTAGTTTCCAGCAACTCGCATTTGCTGTCTCTAATTGTGGAAGCAGAGCGTAGCCACTGTGGCTTGCAGCCATTGACAGCCTTTATCATGAATTTCCCTTCTATTCACCCCTCCAAATGTGTGTGTGTATATCATTGTGCTGCTAAAGGAATTACCTGGTTCACAATTAGGCACCCCAAAAGTAAACCTCCTCCACACCGAGGCCTCTGATAATTCCTAGCGGTCACTGTTGTTGCTTCTGCTGTAATTTATGGGAGTCTTTCATTAGAGTCAAGCTTAGCGCAAGGGCTAATTTACAGCCCACTTCGCTACTCCATAGATTCCTTTCAACTGAAGCGCTGTTAAGGCTAAGCCATTCCTCTCCTCCAACATGTGTTTTTGTTAAACATCTGTATTGTATCATTCACCTTGGGACACACAGACTGGCACGATGTATGTAGCCTACAGTAAATTTTATGTCCCGAAAAATGCTTAAATTTAAATAACAAAGAAAATAAATAGAGCAGTCAACCTGAACACTGTTGTTGTTGTTGTTTGAAAATTGGAGCATTAAGTAGGTGTACTGAGCTTCATAATCAATGCAGTCTAACTTTTTTATGATACTTTACAGCACATCATGTGGCCCTTCAGATTCTATTGGATCTCCAACTCCCAGCAGCCCCAGCAGCCAGAATGATCAGTGGTCACGCTGGAATCCATGACCAGTGGGCCTGGAATCCAACAACGTGTTGAGGGCCACAGATTCCTACCCCAATATACATTATCTCAATTCTCACTTAAATTTCTACCCTGCAACCAAGGCCCTCTCTTTGTGTTTGATCTAATTCTTCCAAGGTGTTCAGGGCAGTATATATATGAGTCCTCCCTCCCTACCCACCCTTAGCTGCCATTTTATTTTCATGGCAACTAAACAAGAGAGGCGATGCTGGCAGATGGTGACTGTCCCAACATCTCCTAGTGAGGGTGGGTGACTGAGCAGAGATATGAACTGAGTCTCCTTAGTCTAGCCTACAACAATCACAGTTAATTAAATAGCAGGAAACTGGCAAGAAATATTAATAACATCAAAAGTGCCATTTTCATGGCAACTAAACAAGAGAGGCGATGCTGGCAGATGGTGACTGTCCCAACATCTCCTAGTGAGGGTGGGTGACTGAGCAGAGATATGAACTGAGTCTCCTTAGTCTAGCCTACAACAATCACAGTTAATTAAATAGCAGGAAACTGGCAAGAAATATTAATAACATCAAAAGTTCTATGGGATAAACCGATGCTTTCCCCCCAATAAATAAATAAATAAATAAATAAGTGCCGGTACTCACTATGAAGTTACTGCAGTAAGTGCCACACTTTTTAACAACAACAACAACAACAACAACAACAACAAAAAGAGGTACCGGTACTGCATACCCTTGAGTACTCCCAGAAAGAAAAAAAACACTGGGATAAATGCTTGCCTAGCTCTAAAATTGTCCAGTAGCACCTTATATATAGACCAACTAAGTTTGCTCTGGTATATGCTTTCATGTGCACGCACACTTCTTCAGATACATGTTACATCTAAAGAAGTGTGCAGGCACACAAAAGCTTATACCAGAACAAACTTAATTGGTCTATAAGGTGCTACTGGACATTTTTTTATTTTATTTTATTTTTATTTTGACTGCTTCAGACCAACACAGCTACCTACCTGAATCAAAGATCTGTCAGTTAGTAACCTAAGGGGTAATTAATTCTGTTGACAGTGGGTCAACCAGGTGGTGTTGCCTAGCATCCAGTCTGATTGGCGCGATCCTTGCTGAGATACAGTAGTGCAAGTTCTGATTGCCTGTTTAGTTCTGAGGCAGTTTGCTCTTGTATGTTAGTTGTAGGTCCCTCTGCTGTGGACCAAGCCTGAAATACTAAGACAAAACCTTTCCATTTACTTCAAGATATACACTGTGTTTTTGCCCTGTTTCCCTCTGTGTTAAGAGGATTTCTTGTTTCTCTGGACTCTGGTCTGCATTATTTAAGTTTCTTTGCTAACTTTCTGCGCATTATCCAGAGTTGACTTTTGCCTATATATCACAGGAGGCAGTGATGACCACCAACTTGGATGGCTTTAAAGGAGGATTAGACAAATACATGGAGGAGGAGAGGGGTATCAGTGGCTACTAGTCTTGATGGCTATGTTCTGCTTCCATGGTCAGAGGCAGTAATGCTTCTGAGTACCAGTGGCTGGAAACCACATTAGAGGAAAGGGCTCTTGTTCTCTAATCCTCCTTACATGTTTCCCACAGGTATCTAATGGGCTGCTAGGAAAACAGGACTAGATGGGCCATTGGCTTGATCCAGTGGGCTCATCTTATGTTCTTATCTAGCATATATATGATACTAAGGGGGTGATATTTTGTGGTTTCTTTCCGGGGGCGGGGGGAGAAAACCCTAGTGAGGAAAACATTTTTTAATGTGAATTTTTGTTTAAATATAACACCCAGAAAATGTCTCTTAAGGGCAACAGCCACGATGGAGTACATGCCTATAGGAGTGTTAAACTTTGCTACCGTAGTAAAACTGTCAGCCCTGATTATTTAGAAGGTGGCTGCCTTGCAGTCTTGCCTTTCATTCCCTCGTGCAATTAGTGTTCCACGGCATTCTATGTGTATTGCACTTGGCTCCTGCTCACAATCTATCAGCCACGCAGAGACAAACGTTTGGCTTTCCCCTTTCTGGACAACAGTGATTTACTGTGCAGAGGCCTCCCACTGCGGTCAAATAAAATAGATGGAGACATTCTGCATCAAAGCGGTGATAACTCTGTAAGCATCAGTCAGAGACACTTTCAATCCAAAGGAGTTTCTGCCGCAATAAAAGATGCGTGTCCTATAAATCCTACTCAGCTGGGCTGGCCATGTCGTATGGGCTTCACATCACATCCAAGCCCTCTGCATCTCTACTTACTACTCCCTTCAGTTGTTCCCATATTATGTCACAGTGAGAACAGCCACAGTGAGCTAGTTTTGTGCCAAAAACTTCTCCTGCATTTTTTCCGACCATCCTCCATCGAGGAATGGAGTTTAATAAATTTAAATGGCCAAAGGCCACAACAATTATATTATAATGTAGCAGAATAAGAATATATGAAGAGCCTGCTGGATCAGACCACTGACCGATCTAGTCCAGTATCCTGTTCTCACAGTGGCCAGTCAGAGGACCTCCATGTCCTTTCCTCCATGAATTAGTCTAATCCAGGGGTCAGCAAACTTTTTCAGCAGGGGGCCGGTCCACTGTCCCTCAGACCATGTGGTGGGCCGGACTATATTTTGGAAAGAAAAAAAAATATGAACGAAGTCCTATGCCCCACAAAAACCCAGAGATGCATTTTAAATAAAAGCACACATTCTACTCATGTAAAAACACGCTGATTCCTGGACCATCCACTGGCCGGATTTAGAAGGCAATTGGGCTGGATCCGGCCCCCGGGCCTTAGTTTGCCTACCCCGGTCTAATCCTCTTTTAAAGCCATCCAAATTTGTGGCCATCACTGCTTTCTGTGAGATCAAGCTCTATAATTTAACCATGTGCTGCATGAAGAAGAAATCCTTTCTTTTATCTGTCCTGAATCTTTGAACATTCAGCTTCATTGGATGTCCATGATTTCTGGTAGAATCATAATATAACAAACACCAATCATATAAAAGAAATAAAAATCAGAAGTACCATCAGATAGCTCAACCTCAGGTTAAAGCTCTGAGTCTCCAAAACTATTGAAAGCAATATTATCTAACTGTCTCTTTCTATGCTTTCTTCCAGCTGATGCAAAAACATCACCCTTTATGTGTCACAAGTATCAAACAAGGCTATTCTGTCTAAAGAACTGTTAACATTTTTACTAATCGCAGCTAGATAGGCCATGGTGGAAGGAATTAGACAATCTTTCTATACAATCTTGGCATAAAAACATTTGGTTTAATGCAATCTCAGAAAAGATAACAAGTTAAGACCGGTGCAGGGTAAAGCAAAACCGCAAGATTTCAGTGCAGTGTGATAGGGCTTTGTGCAATTTACCGTGGATCAAAAGATGTACATCTCTTTGCCAGAAAAGGCCAGATCTATACGGACATCTTAGATCACACACCAAGATTTTGGTGATTGTTCCACTTCCTCCTTAATATATCATAGCCATAACATTGAGGGGGGCACACTTATAATATATAAAAATATTGTATTTAGTGCTCACCTACACCTGTGTTGCAGGGGATAAGTCTGGTTACATGTTTTGGTTTCTTTTTTTTATATTTGCATTCTTATCTTGAATATCTATATCTATGTCTATATCTTTTTTTTAAAAAAATTGAAATATAAGTATTTCTTTTCCTAACAATATTATCCACATGACCAGCATCACAGGTTGGCATTGCTGGAAAAATCCCAAGGCCTGCACTCATTCTCTGGAGTCTCCTTCCTGCTGCTGTTGTCTGGTCATTAAAAGGTAAAGGTAAAGGGACCCCTGACCATTAGGTCCAGTCGCGGACAGCTCTGGGGTTGCGGCGCTCGTCTCACTTTACTGGCCGAGGGAGCCGGCGTACAGCTTCCGGGTCATGTGGCCAGCATGACTAAGCCACTTCTGGAGAACCAGAGCAGCGCACTGAAATGCCGTTTACCTTCCCGCTGGGGCGGTACCTATTTATCTACTTGCACTTTGACATGCTTTTGAACTGCTAGGTGGGCAGGTGCTGGGACCAAGCAACGGGAGCTCACCCCATCACAGGGATTCGAACCGCCCGACCTTCTGATCGGCAAGCCCTAGGCTCTGTGGTTTAGACCACAGCGCCACCCGCGTCCCATTAGGTCATTAGGCTGGAACAAACAGAGGAAGCCATGTTCTCTGCTTTTTTGCCCTCTCCCTCTTAATGGATGGCAGAAGAGGGCAAGTGAAGAGGCAGTGGTGAGAGTGCCTAGGAGGAGGCAGCCCCACTCAAGGCATCTTTCTTGCCCATAAAGGCTGGAGCCAGTACTCATGATCAGCCCTTTAATCCCCCTCAGCAAATGAACTGCAATGGTGTATCCATGACCAGGCAGGTTTGCTGGTTTAATCTACTGATCCTTTTCAGTCTTGCTTTTTGCCAGGGGTGCTTCCAGGTGGGTGTTTATAGGAGGATTGATGTGCCTATCTATTTATTTCATAAAATTTGTACACCACTTGATTAAAAAAGAAAGCCTTCAAGGCAATTTCCAAAAAAATAAAAAAAATTAAAACAATAAATTCATAAATTGGAAAAAATACCAACAATAATTTAAGTCTTTTGAGAAGTTGAAATAACAATAGAATAAAGGCAGATTGAAACTCACATCTACTTTCTAAACATCTGGATTGGCTTTTCTGGGGGGGAAATGTTTTTAGCAGACACTGAAAAGAACACAGTGAAGCAGCCTTCCTCATATCATTCATGCACACTCTTTGCAGTCTCCATTCAGCGTTATTGTTATCAGAATGCCAGCCCATTTCCCCCCAATTTGATCCAGAAACTCCCTTTCCAAGGAAAATCTGGGAAGTTTTTGTGAGTTGTGTTTTTTTTTTAAGCTGTTGTTAATGACCCCTCTGTGATATCTCAAAATGCTATCTTAGTCTTCTTGCAACAACCTTATTTAGAAGGGAGAGACAAACCTTGTCAGTGCTCACACACTCAAAGAACATAGTGTAACCATGCAGTTATGGACCTGTTTTGAGGTGAGATTCAGCCACATACCAGCAAATTCAGGCCACACAATTACAGTCAGTTAGGAGTTCTTGCACAACAAATCTGCTTCCCCAACAGATCAGATTTTTTTTCAGTAAGAAATGTGATGAGGAAAGCACTTGAAAGTGTGAGCTAGTGTGTTGCTTTGATGGAACATTGAACTTGTCCATATTGGAGTTTACTGTGCATGTACAGAAGCTTGTGTTCCCATTTAATTTGTGAAGTGATAGAACTGTAGAGTTGGAAGGGACCCTGAGGATCATTTAGTCCAACCTTCTGCAATGCAGGAATACGCAGCTGTCCTATGCAGGGATCAAACCTGTGACGTTGGCATTACCAGCACCACGGTCTAATCAACTGAGCTACATTATGCTACCCTCAAACAATGCTAGTCTAAATGCTTTTCTCTTTTTATAAGATATTTATTAAGATTTTCAGAATATTACAAAACACTTTTTAATTTGGGTTTACCCATATGGGTATAATCCTGTAAATTGGGGAGTTAAGGCTCAATAGTGCTCCACTCAGGGTCATGAATTGTTTCAGTGTTTTGGTACGGTTGGAACTGTTGTCACTGTCTGCTACTCCCCTTTCCAGGGCCAGTGCAAGACATTTTGCTGCCTAAGGCAAAGGACAAGAGGGGGTGGGTGGGTGGGTGTGCGCACACACACACACCCCTGTTCCATGTACAGAAACTAAGTGGGCTGGTAACTGAATAATGCTTCAGCTCTGGCCATGGGATAGTTGCCCCTGATGGCAACATGTAAGTTTAAGGGGGCAAGTGGCAGACCTGTGGTACACATAGCTTTGATCTCCAACAGAAAGGAATGGCCAGGGGCTTAGGAGGAATGGCTGGGGAGAAGTGGGGAAGCTGCCACAGATGCTTCCCAAAAACTGCCACCTGAGGCAATTGTCTCACTCTGCTTAATGGTAGGGCCTGTCCTGCACCACTGCTCCCTCAATGCTTTCATCTCTTTCATTTCTTTCTGGCTGTGCTCAAAACTATTTTTGTTGTGCTCCTAAACAGAACAGTATTTTTTCCCCTTTTTGATCCCTCAGATTTGCACAAAACCAGAAAAATGCACAAACCAATTTACAGTCGTCTAGCTCTGTGCTTTTGCACACTTATTGGTGTTTCATTTTTTTTTTTTTTTTTAAAGGCACAGGTGCAGCTACACACAAGCCGTTAGTACTTAAGTGGCATAATAGAATCATGTGTAGGTGTTGACTACCCCAGTCTAATTTGAATGGGGGTGGATTAAGCAGCTAAATAATGTTCAAATGCAGGGAATCCCATTGTCTAGTCTCCGTGCAAACAAATCAGAATAAATGCAAATCAGATAGTCATTGTTGTCTAATATCCTTTCAGACAAATCAGGACGAGTGCTCCATAAATAGGATGTCTGGAAGCGCCTAAAGACTAAGGGTTGCATTTAGGCTCAGTTGGTTAAACAGTTAGTTAAACATCCTGGACCCAACCCTGCCATTTCTGCTATGGCACAAACTTCCATGGTCTAGTTCCCCAGATGCTTCAGGGGATTGCAGTCCGCAAAAGCTGATGCCACAATAAGGCTGCAGTCTCAACCCCACTTACCTGGAGTAAGCACCGCTGAATTCAACAGGGCTTACTTCTGCATAGAAAATGGATGGGGTTGCATTGTAAGGTGGGTTGGGTAATGTGTGGCCCTTCAGATGCTCCTGGACTACAACTCCTATCATCCCTCACCGTGGATCATAGAATCCTAGAACAGTAGAGTTGGAAGGGATTCCAAGAATCATCTAAGTCCAACCCTTTGCAATGCAGGAATCACACCTGAAGAAAGCCTGGCAGATGGCCATCCAACTTCTGTTTAAAAACCTCCAATGAATGTTGAAGACTCACCAAGAGAAAGACCCAAGCTTCCTGTTTCAGGCAGTTACCGTATTTTTATTCCTCTCTTTTTTTCCTTCCACCATGAATAGATTGGTGTATTCTGGGAAACATTTTTTTTGGTCAGCAACAACCCCCCACCCCAAACATGTAAAGTGATCAAGAGAAAGGGAGGAACTGCAGATATGGCTGGTGGTGGCAGTCTGATTATTATCTTGGTTTAGTAAGTGCGATTCCCAGGTTTAATTATCTATAAAACTGTTTTTTAAAAAAGAAAGAAAGAAAGAAAGAAAGAAAGAAAGAAAGAAAGAAAGAAAGAAAGAAATGCATTGGAATACATAGACTAACTGGGCTGAGTGTCACCTGTGTGCCCCTTCCCTTGTTCCCCCCACCCTTTGGGGAGTCTTTGACAGGTCACAGAGGATCAACGGCTAGGATGTTTGTCAGGCCCCTTCGGAAAGTTCAGAGGATCTCCATGACATCATAGGCACGACCCCCTGGCTAATCACATTATACGCTGTTTAACTTAACACTGCTAAGCTTTGTCTGATAACACTGTAAAATACCATTTTATTCTAAATTAGATTATGCAAACCTCTTGGACACTTAGGTCAGTTCTCCTGTGAGGTCCTTGCTCAGATGCCTTTTCTTAACTCCCTCACCCCCCCCCCATTCCCAGCCTCCCTTGCCCCCAAATTGAATCAGACAGCAAAAAAAAAAAAATTTGAAATAAAAGGCTGTCAAGTCTATTATCTGCTTCTATAACTCAACAACACTGGTTGCGGTTACATTGATGGAGACTCTGTGAGTCTGTTCTCGCTCTCTCCCCTCTTGGAAAAAATGTGGATTTTGTTTTCTCTTTCAGAGGTACTGGGTTTCATTACAACCTCCTTGTGAGGTAGCATGTTCCATAAGCCTGTCTCTTCCATCTACCATAGGAACATAAGGAGAGCCTACTGGATCAGGCCAATTGCACATCTAGTTGAGGATCCTGTTTTCACATTGTCCAACAAGATGCCTGTGGGAAAGCTGCAAGCAGGATTTGTTCCTGCATTGTGCACGGTGTAAGGAAAAAATCTTTCACAGACATTAAGAGTTGGCACGACCCACTAAAATGAAATTTCAACTTGATAAACGCATAGATTTCCCTAGCACTTCGGAACCACTTTAAAATAATAATAGCAACAACAATAACAGCAAATGAAGTTGCAGCCAACAGAAAGGTGCAATTTACTCACAAGCTGCAGGAAATACTCTCATTATTGTTTCCATTTTACACACATACACAAAAGTACAAAGTGTGTAATGAGAAAAAACTACTTTAACTTACAGCAGCCCAACAACTATAATTGTTTACATGAAGGTATTACAAATCCAGAGCATTTTTCACAACATGGAACAAATCTAATTTCCAAATGCAATACAGTTGCATCTTACATGCATTTAGCTTGCATGATTTTAACCGTATGGGGTTGAAGGCAGGCTGGCTGAATTTGTGCAAGATAAATCTAAGCAAGGCAGAGAGTATAAAAGCTCATTTTGCACTAGGTCCACTTGAGTTACCCAATACAAAAGGAGCTTTTAAGTTAAGGTTACCAGATTTTTTTCAATGAATCCTGGGACACTTTTCAACTTCAGTAGGAATGATAGGATTTTGTCAGGGGACTGATTTGTAAATCCGGGGACTGTCCCCAGGAAACGGGGATGTCTGGTAACCTTATTTTAAGTTCCCCACCATGCTTGCTGGGCAAGGCCCACTTGACATGCAGGTTCTGGGAGCAGGGGTGCCAACTTGAATAAAATAGGGTTGGGGCAGGTAAGCCCCACCCCATAACCAATCACAATATGCAGCACAAACACACTATTTGAATGGCAATGCCCATTAACTTTGGTGGTCCCTGGCCCTCAAATATTTTACTTGGGGTGTGTGTGAAGGGACCTCAGCCGCTAGGTGTTGGCTCCTATGTCTGGGAGTGCTGGGGATTCTCTCTCCCTCAACCACTAGCTGTGGGAGAGGCTCCAAGGATCTGGGTACATGATTTTCCAGTATATGTGAAACTCTTGGGACTGAAGCGCCATGTAAGATATGTACTGATTGTACTGTATTGCAAGTTTCAGAACTTCAAATACTGTCGTCATTGTCCAAGAACCAAATGAGGTGCTTCGAGAATAACTGGATGGGATGCAGTGTGGGCCTGCAGGGCACTGGAGCAGAATGGGACTCTGGCACCATGCTGTTTTGCACTTTTACCAAAACTTGGTACATATGCTAGTGAGTTCATATACTACCAAGAAAAGTGTGGGGGGGGGGAATGGAAAAGAAGAAAGCTTCTCTTTGGTGGTATTCCAAGCCGATCACATAACTGAGATGTCATCACCTGCCTAATGCACAGCTAATGACAGAATCAATGGCTGATTGTGTTACATTAAAGCCACACAAATGAACACAGCAATTCGAGCATGAAACAAAATAAAAATAAAAAAGCCACCTTCCAGGGCATATGATGCTGGGAGAAATAAATGAAGGAATAATTAGAGAAAGAGCATTTATGTCAGAAAGTTATCTATCAAGTTTCTGAATAGCAAAAATTCACCTACCCAACCAAGGCACACAATTCAGATTCATGTTGGGGAGCAAAGATTTTAATAAAATAGTGGACAAAATGGACTGTTTCAAGAAGTGGCAGAGAGACATTTCTAAATTTGTCTGGCAGGGCAAGAAGCCCAGAATAAAATTTAAAATATTAACCGATGCAAAGGATAGAGGTGGATTTGCCCTGCCAGATCTCAAACTTTATTATGAATCAGCAGCATTCTGCTGGTTGAAAGAATGGCTGCTTCTTGAGAACACAGACATTTTGGATTTAGAAGGTTTCAACAATGTTTTTGGGTGGCATGCATATTTGTGGTATGACAAGGTTAAAGCACATAAAGCATTTAAAAACCATATTGTCAGGAAAGCATTGCTAAATGTCTGGATAAGATATAAGGACTTATTGGAAAACAAAACCCCTAGGTGGTTGTCACCGATGGAAGCAAAAGCTCAGAAAAGGCTCAATATGGAGGCCAAATGGCCGAAATATTGGGAAATTTTGGAACAAGAAGGAGACAAATTGAAATTGCAGAGTTTTGAAAAATTAAAAGATAAGGTGCGAGACTGGCTTCATTATTATCAGATAATGGAGGCATATAATTTGGATAAGAAAATTGGCTTCCAGGTGGAAAAATCAAAATTGGAAACAGAATTGTTAGAACCCAATAATAAGATTTTGTCAAAAATGTATAACTTGTTGTTGAAATGGAATACTCAGGATGAAACCGTGAAATCCGCTATGATTAAATGGGCACAAGATCTAGGATATAACATTATGTTTGCTGACTGGGAACAGTTGTGGACCACAGGTATGAAATTTACGGCATGTAATGCCCTAAGAGAGAATATTATGAAAATGATATACAGGTGGTACATGACACCAGTCAAGCTTGCAAAAATCTACCATGCA